ATGTATGTAGTATGTACTAATGTATGCATAATGGTTGTGAGACAAAATAGATATGTATGTAACGTAAGTTTCACTTCTCCAGTGCGGCCCAGGCGCCTTTACTTTTGTACGAGTTCTATGTAGTTCGGGGTTCCTCTTATCAAAACTAAAATTCAATAACTTTGTTATTAAAACACTATCGTTCAAAAACTGATCGACCCACATAACTTTTTTCTCATGCATCCTCGTGGACGGTGCGGGTTTATGTTGTTTCCCTTATCGGAACACTAGTTTGATGCGAATATGTAGGGCTAAAAATTTTCAAAAATAAATTGCTTTTTTTATAAAATGTCTTACCACACGCTCTGCATACTATTAAAACACTCTGCGTACTAATATTTTCATTATGTATTTAATTTTTCAACAATCAGCAGTTATGTACGTAAATGTAATTTTGTCGGATGGGAATATGGCTTATACATATGTACATACATATATAGGTAAGTACATATGTACATATATTTGAATACGTTTCACAAACTTCGATTAAGAAATTAATATGCGACTCTATATTTTCGGAGTATGTTTGAGAAAAATATAAATTTTTTTCTTACGCAGGAACGCAAAAGCATTGTTTTACATACATAATTACAGACATTAGAATGTGTTGATTTACATGCATACATAGTTACAATACAAATTTCATAGCATGCATGCTTGTTTGTACAAACATTTTTTTTTTATTTAATTAGTTCTACTTTAAAATTTTATTTCTTGCAATGTTGTTTTTTTTTTATTTATTTTGTGTGATTTCTTTTGTTGCTCAGGTCATCATATCATTTGCGACGATATGTTCATTTGTATTTTTGTTATCTTTTTTGCCACATACTTTTCATTCGTTATTTATTGCTTGCAAACTTTTTTTTACAATAGTTACATACATTTAATAATTTATTATTGATTTTAAAGCTTTAAGGTGCATTAGTTTGATTACAAATTAGCTGAAAGCAAAATAAACAACAAAATAGGACCACATGCAAAAACTAAATAAAAATGATAACTGCAAAAAATGAAAAAAAAACTCGAGTATCTGGAAAGCATGAAATCTGAAAATATCTTTCATAAAAATTTCGATAGACAAATAAAATTGTTTAGATGCTTGAGTTTTCCACTTAACATTAATTTTTAACGATTATGGATATGTTGGAATTTAACTGTCTAACCAGAATGATGAGGCTTTTGTATGTAGCAAGAGCTGTCAAAAGTTAAAATATACGAAATGCTCTAGACTTCACACAATAAATATGTAGCTGTGGTATTGCTTATGTAGCTGATGTAGCTAGCGAAATAACTTGTGGCTGTGGTACTACATTCTATTTAGCCAGTAAAATAATGCATATTTGACAAAAAATAATAATTCGAAACAAAAAGGATATTTTTGCGCATTAAAAAAGATAACTGAGGTGAAAATTAAAAACTGGAAAGCACCAAGCTTGAAAATATTTTTCATAAAAATTTTGAAGGCAAAATAAAATTTTCTAGGTTCTTCAGGTATTACACTTGACTATAATATTTAGCTTGTATTTTGTGTTGGAATTTTAATCGATATATGATAAAAAAGATAGATTATTGAAACGAAAAATTTATTTTTGCGGAATGACTGCTTCCATTATTCCAGTAGTAAGCTTAATGACTATTTTTCATAGTCTGTTGAAAAAAAAAAAAAATTATTAGGGGAGCTCACGTTGAGTAGCATTTTAGGTGTAAAGTTGCTACGTAGCAATCACCCACATGTGTTGTTGCTCTTCCAACAACAAAATGCGTGCTAGATTGCTACGTAGCAGCTTGACACCTAAAATGCTAGTACCGCTATTATTTCAGAACTAAAAAAAATATATTTGATAAAAAAAATAATAATAAAAAAGATAACTTTGGCGAAAAAAAATAAAAAAATTTTAAAACTTGGAATGCACCAACTTTTAAAATATTTTTCATATTTCGATAAATAAATAAAATTGAGGTTCTTTAGTTATTACACTTGATATTTGAGAAAAAAAATATTCGATATGACATTTTTGTGCATTGACTGCTTAGTTACATATATAGATTCCTCTTCCACAAATTTTTAATTCCATTATTTCTAGTAATCTGAATTACTATTTTTCATAAGACTGTAGAAATATATTTAAAAAATAAAAAATGCTGTAATTTTTTGTCTATGGAAACCTTTACAAGGACCTGTCCCCCCAATCACAATTATTTTTTTTATTGTTTCTATGGTCCTCGGCTATAAAAAAATAAATTTTTTTATGAGTTATATGGAAGAAAATGCGCTACACGCTAGACAAAAAAAAAAAAATAAAAAAAATCAGCGGTAATTTTTAGCGACTTAAAATATGCGCTTTACTATACTACAATTTAATGGGCTGCAAAACTGCATGCTCATTTTTCTAAGAAATCGAATTGAAAAATTGAAAATTTCGATAAAAATAGGTTGGCATTTTCCCCCCGAGTTCTGTATGAAATTAAAAAATTTGATTCTTGTGTTTTTGCTATATTTAAAAAAAATAAGAAAAATTTGGTATGGAAAATATAAATAAAAAAAAATAATTGTAAATGCCAGGGTATGCATATTTTCGACGCTGACTGTACATAGCTGTACAATACGCCTTATCAGAGGCGTCGGAAAAGCCATCGAGGGATCTCAATCTCCGATATAGTTCTAATAATGACCTAATTCCTTCCGCTACCGGGAAGTTGGAATATTATATTATTTGCGGACATGCTGTGTTTGTAGGGGAGTTCCTTTCATAGTTATTTTCGAACCAAAAACATTTTAAGGACTCGCCTGGCCTACATCAAAGATACTAACAAAAAACAGGGCTCTGTAAGAGAGTTAAAGCTGCGTAAGCACGAAATTCAAAAAAACTAAAAAAAAAAACAAATTCACGGGTATATCGCGGAACTACTAGACAAATAATCGTAATATGTAATACCATGTACCATGCCCTATTATGGTGGGTGTTTTTTTTTTTAAATTAACTTTTTGTTCCACATTACTATGTGGGTCTATCTGGTTATCAGGTTATGGGGTTATACTTTGTATACACTATATAATAATAATTTTTAACCAGATAACCTCATAACCAGGCAAGTGTGAACACGAACAACTAACTGACGACATGGCATTTGGCATTGAGATAACAAGCAAAATTATACATAAAGTAAAATTAAAATACATTTCTAAATATTAAAAATAATTTTGCTTGTATTAAATTTAGGCACTAAAAACAACATTGACTTTTTTCACGTTTTCAGATAACTTTTTCTCTTTCTTAAATAATTTTGTTCTCTTTTTAAAACAACTTTTTATCCTTTAAGAATGCCAATGTGTTGCCAGCACACATTATTGCTCTTCATTAACAATTTCAAATCGTTCCCTTCAGTATACTTTCACAAATCCGTTTTCATTTTTGACTTTTTAATTGTCCAGCAAAAAATTTATAGAACTTACATCTGCCAATCTCATAATTTCTTACTACTAAACTTTTAACATGAAACCAAATGCAAAATATTATTTCTTATTTCGCCTTAGTTTAATTAACAATGCTACTTTCAACGCTGGTAAAAATGTGCTAATGTTTTTGTTTCTCATTACTTAAAGATGCTTTCAATATAAAATCTACGCTGCAATATAACTGCATATACAAATACGTTTTTTTTTTTTGTAATTCTTACAACGCCGAAAGCTACCAGAGCAGGATATTTTGTCTATTTCCTTTCTCTAATCTTTCATTAAAACGTTTCGGTTCATCATTTTTTTTTTTATAAAAGCTTGCAATCGAATAAATATTCCTTCATGCTAAATTTTTAATGCAAACGCGGTGATTTTATAATTTTTACATTGAAAATTCAAATGATTTTTTCATAATCTTCATACATGTATTTATTGTATGAATTTATGTATATGACACGTGCATATTTGCAATTAATAGTTTTTATCGTTTGCATAAACGTAAGCAAGGCAAAACTTTAATACAAATTTGATTTCCTTTTATATTTAGCTTTTTGAGTGCACTTCTTCAATTCCTTTTTTTTAATTTTCGTAATTTTCTATTTTACTTCATTTATATGTATAGTAATGGTCGCAAGGCAATCTTTTATCTTCACATTTAAACACCCTAAACCGCAGAAGCTCGGCTGCACTCGCCGCTCTGTTTTTTTTTTTTAAATGATTACTTAAAAAGTATTTTTCCAACTTTCTTCATTTTTAATCAAGCCAAAGTGGTATAATCTGTACCAATGCTGTAACAGATTTTGTTGATCTAATATGCACGTAATTCTTTTTTTTACCAAGTACGAGTATACATATTTATACTCATTTGTATATAAAAATGTTCAACAATTTTCTTTCAACAACTAAGCTAACAACATTTACATAACGTGTGTATATACAGACATACAAATGGAAAATGTCGAAATATATATTTGATTATTTTTTGCCTTCCATACTTTTATCAGCACAAAATGATTTTCTTTTTAAATCAGTGTGATTCTGAGTTACATCGGATTTTTTATAAAATTTTCTCACTGCCTGCATTTTATGATTTAATAGTTTCGTTTGCACCTATTTATCTACTGTAGGCTTAAAAATTTTTTTTGTAATCAATATTTTTTTCAGTTGCAGTTGAAGTAGCGGCTTAACATAATTTTCGATTACCGTTAAAGGTACAGACGGTGAGTTACAGGTCACTAAAAAGGTGGCTATTGGACTTAAGATGTTTAGGATAATTCTAACAAGGAAATTGTACTTTTCAATTTAATTGAGTTCAAATTAATTTAATTTAATTTTATGATATAGTATTATATTTTTATTTTTTTACAGTTTAATTTAAATATTCTTTTTATTTAAATTAATTTATTTTGTTTTATTTTACTTTTATTTTTTCTACTTTTTATATATTTTTTAATTTGTTTCATAAAGTTTTTTTTTTAAATTTTATTTTATTTATTTATGATTTGTATTTTAGTAAGTTTATTGTTTTATATAATATATTCCAAGAATAATTCCATATGTTACACAACACTTTTTCGACCAGTTAGTGAATACCGTCGTTAATATTTTGCAAGTGCAAGTACAACTCTGCGCTGCCAACCAATTTCCGCCGCCATTCTAACCACTACGCGCCTATTTCCTTTCCGTAAGTTGAAAATCAGTGAAAATTGTGAAATATGTGCAGAAAAGTGAATTAAATGACGTCTCTTCAAAGAAATTAAAAAGTTATGTGTGTTTTCTGCAACAAGAAAGTTAAATAATTGCCAATTTAGTGTTTGCAAATTTTCCAATTAAATAATTTCGGTGAGTAAGTGATGCAGTTCAAAGTGTGAGAAATATGTAAAAATCTCAGAAAATCAGGAAAAGAAGGAAAAGGGTAGAAATTGTGTGGAAAGAGAATTACATTATTTAATTAATTACATTACCATCAGAGAGGTAAGTTTTTATTAGAAAAATAATATAAATCAAGTTATCAAAAACATAACCTAGGCGAAACTGGCGGCAGAATTGCCTGTGTATTATTTTATTGCAACAGCAAAATGGCTTCTGAACTTATGGTACCTGACCAATTTTCATTTTCGTTCACTCCAACAGCTTTTAATTGAATATAGTGGGTTAACTTCCTAGCTTTTAACCTAAACATCCGCCGTCCTAGTAAGACTTCTACTAAAAGGTGGCTTAAATATTACAACTTATCTATATTAGTTAGATCCTTAAAATTTACTGAAGTTTTAATTTTTACTTTTACAGCTAAGCAACAACAAGTTAATTAGTGAGTATAGTAAAAAACATTATTTTTTAAAGTACTTCGCTTAAAATTAATTATGTAATTGCTTTGAGTTTCTGGAAATTCTATGCTACATATAAGCTAAGCGCACAAAGGAGTTCTTTTGGTTGCCATAACCAATCGTCAATTAACAATGTTGTAGGCTTCAGTTCAACACGAACCGACAACAAACAAAAAATACCTCTAAGCAGCTTTCACAATTAAAGGAACCTATACGAAGATTTCTACTTCGCGCTGATCTAGCATACATACATTGTGAATTCTACGCTACGTCGAGTGTAGCTGATTTACTAACAATTCCGTTTCCGCTTCTAAGCGGTTATTTTGATGAACCAGCAATAATCAATACCACACGCCATTATCAGGCTTTACAGTTGTTTCACCTTTGCTGTTGCTGCTGCTGCTGTCTTTTCACCATAGTCGCAGCCCTAAAGAGCGAATACAAAATCCATTTTAATACAAATGCCAAAAAATATACGTACTTCATGCACTTACCTTCTCACTCCATGTCGCGGACTCACCGGTGGCGTGCGTACCGGCGAAGGTGGCGCCGAACTGCCCGATGAGGTGCGTGAAGACAGTGATAGCGTTGAATTGCGGGGTGCCGAGCAGCCAAGATAAATTGCCGATCCCTTATCGACATCACGTAAGTCCACGCGCGAGCCATGGACGGACGATGGTACCGAACCAGGCACTTTTCCTGTGTAGGCGTGCAAACCAGCCGGGCTGCTGTAAGGCCGCACTGATAGACCGCTCACAGTGCTGGCACTGCGTTGCAGCTGTGTTTGTCCAGCACTGCCACCGCCGATGCCATTACCCGCGTTACACCGTTCCAATTCATCCTGTTGCGCTGTCACTGTAGCGGAAACGGCGGCACGCGCCTTTGCTGTACTACTGATGAGGCGGCTGCCTGCGCTGCTGACACGTGGATTGCGCAAGCGTGCAGCGGGTGGTGACTTTTGTAACGCCTCACGCTCCCGCTTTGCATCGCTAATGGCGGCTGCATATTCAGCAGCCTCTTTTGAACTGCTTGCCGTCGCTATGAGCGGTGACAATGTAACGGTGGTGGTGGTCGTGGTGGTTGTCGTTTCCGACGTAGCCGTGGTGGTGTTGTTGCCGGTGTTGGTGGTTGTGTTGTTAGGTTGTGTAGTAGTAGTTGCTGTTGGCCCTGTTACAGAAGCACTACGCGCTTCTTCGTCTTCGGGTA